GATCGTAACTTCTTCGTTTGAGCTCCGATTTGGATGATCTAACAGTCGTTGGAATCGTTGTAACGAGCTCTACACTGTGGACACTTTAAAATACACAAAATGTCAATAAATAAAATTAAGTTTGTTATCATCAAAACATTAATTAATTTGAGATTAAGGCCAAAAAGCCAACATTGTAGACATAGGTTCCATATAGTATCAAAATCTTGGTCATTTTGGTAGTTTGTAGGGAGGGTAGAGAAAGCCATGATTTCTCCGTGTAGAAGGGTGAGAAGTGATCCTTCTCTACTGAGAGCATCTGCTGCCATATTTTGAGTTTCATTCTTGTGTTTCATTACAATGTCAAATCTTTGTAAAAAGGAGTGCCACCGAGCATGGATTCTGCTCACAGATTTTTGTGTATGTAAGAACTTAAGGAGAAGTGGTCCGTAAATAGTATAAATTCCTGACTTAACAAATAATGCTCCCACTGTTCAAGGGCCCGGACAAGAGCGTAGCTCTTGTCCATAAGTGCTCCAGTTCTGGCGAGAAGGACTTAGTTTGTCACTAAAGTACTCAATAGGGTGTTGATTTTGAGATAAAACTGCCCCAATGCCAACACCAGAAGCATCAATTGCTACTTCGAATGGTTGGGTGAAATCTGGTAACTTAAGAACTAGGCTTTCTGTTAGTTTAGCTTTTAAAGTAAGGAAACTGTCAGTTTGAGTTTTGTCCCATCGAACATTTCCTTTTTTTAAGCAATCTGTTAGGGGGCCTGCTATCATGCTAAAATCTCTAATAAATTTGTTGAGGTTAATCACCAATTTATTAGTATGCAAGGCTCAAACTAGTGTGTCAAGGTGTGCAAGATTATCATTTCTAGTTGTAATATAAACCAAAATATCATCAAAGTAAACAACGATAAACTTGTGTAAGAAAGGAAGTAGAACCAGATGCATAAGTCTCATGAAGGTGCTAGGTGCATTTGAAAGTTCGAATGCATAACTAGCCACTCAAACAATCCTTTGTTTGTTTTGAACGTGGTTTTCCACTAATCGTCAGGACGGATTCTGATTTGGTGATATCCGCTTCGAAGATCTACCTTAGAAAAGAATTGTGCTCCACTCAATTGGTCTAATAGGTCATTGATCCTTGGAATAGGGAAGCAATATTTTATTGTTATTGAT